ATGCACTTTTAAAAAATCATACTATACGATGATAGAGCTTCATAAATAATGTCTACTAAATTCGCATAAATTTATTTATTATGATTATTGTATGTTTGCTCGGAATAGTGTCACCGGATTCAATTCAAGGAATATGTAATTATCTATCATTAGAAGGGAACATGATCTATATTTTTTGATTTTAATTTCTATCGCCAATAGCGCTGTGGTGCAATACTTATCTAAGTCGATATGACAGGATGTGACACGAAAATGGTAAGAGGATCATATGAAACGTAGGAAAACGCATGTCCGGTCTCTCCTATTAGTCAATGTCCACATATTTCATTCTTTAAAAAATTTTTTTTTTATTTAAATTTAACACGCAAGAGGAGTATGCAGGAATATACACAATGATGAGATATATTTTTGTGAACAACAATTGAATTGAATTTATGACGTTTCTGCTTTTTATGCAGGGGGGACCGGAGTCCTATCTTTGTTATATAACTATAACTATTAATAGTTATAGTTAAAGAAAATTAAGCTACGTCACATTAGAACTGCTTTTTTCTTCGATAAATGCTTTTCCTTCGATAAACGTTAACTCGTAGTTCATTTAAAAAAATTACGATTATTCGAGAGTTTATAGCGAGAAAATTGATTCAAAATCTACCATAATATTTTACAAAAATCGATGAACGCTCGTAATTCTGTGATATTTCGCGACCGCAACATTGTATTGATAATATCCATCTCCATCTTCGTTTTATGAACATCAGTTATATCAGTCGTGTACTTGCAATATTCTTCTGGAGTTCTTGAAAATTCAAGACTTTTCCATATTAATTCGAACGTTTGCTTCGTTAATCTCGTTAGTACTTTATCTAATTGCATCTAATTTGTATAAATAATTAGGAGTTGTAATCTTTGTATCTTCCAGGAACTCGTACAATATCTTTCAAATAGTTTTCCATCTGATCCATTTACAACTTGTGATATAACGAAAAATTTGATGTATATTCAAAATAAATATGACGATAATCTGGATGAATCTTCATTCGCAATCATACGTACATCTGTTTCAAATCTATGTTTGAAAATTAATCTCCAGACATTGTCGTGAATTGGCAACTTCGTCGGGAGTGAGTACTCGTCAATGATTAAATTTTTGTTAATTATCACGTTGAAATCACGACATAAACGAATCGTATTTTGCCTTGAAATTGGTATAGCTCACTCACATGGACTGATCTCGAGAATATTGTTTTTCTTCCACCAATCAATATCTTTTTCTGTAATTGTGTGGAAATCCTCGCCGATTTCAAAGTCATCTGGTGATCATTCTAATGACTTTTCTCTGTCTCTCAGATTTGGTTTCCGAGATATTCGCATTCGATTACCTACAATCATGTATCTTTCTCACTTCCAACACGTCCTGCTCGCCTTTCTTTGCCAAGTTCAACCGATGTCACCAACAATAATAAACAGACGTGCCAGTAATTGAAGCCATTGAAATGTGTATAATTCAACTGCTAATTTTTAACTTCAGCATTGCGTCACGTTAGAAAATACAAACAATATTACAGTTCAATATTATATGATTTTAGTTTATCATAAATTAAGAATTTCAGTTATGATATAAAGAAGAATTATAATGAAATTACACGAATTTTTAAACATGTGCAATGATTATGACACTTTAAGAGAATTTTTAATTGAACCAAGAATAAAAAGAAAAATGATATAATTTTCAATATAAATAGATAATGTATCTCGATGTATTAACATTGTTTTATAAAAGGAATCGTAATAAAAACCGCAATATGTTAAAAATTAATGCATTGAATGGAGCCTGATTTATAGATGCACACTTACCAATCCAAAGAATATTTATCGATTCGTTGCTCATTATATCATGTTTCGACAAGCATTTCTAATGATGCGTACTCTGAGTAGAAATTTCGTCACAAACAACGGCATGGTGGTTTGCCTAACAATTTTTAGCTTGAACATCGTAAGTCGGAAGAGAACACGAACACTAGATCAATTTTAATACTTTACGTCCTTGCTATTTGCCTCGTTCCAGATCATTATCACGAATAACAATTGCTTGCTCATGTGTGGATCGATATCGTTACGACGATGACGTGTAACATTCTTCTATAGAATGGAAATGCGCACAATCCAACAGTGTTAAATTAATATTGCAAAAGGAAGAATTGTACTTCTAGGTCAAGGATATGGCTGTGTGCAAGATTTCTCAATAGGATTCCTTCGAAGTTTGAAATTCGAATGCGTTTTATTTTGATTTTTTATAGTTTTTTGGTAATATAAATTATTTTTAACTTATATATTGGTCATTTTATCGTATGAACAGTACATTCATAATAATTGATAGAGAGAATTTACTGGAAACGAAAGAAAATCTCGCGACAGATTAATGTTATGAAAAAAATGTTTCAATAAAAATTATTTTGTTCAAAGTCGTACGTGCAAATTATTTTTTTTTTTCAGGTAGAAAAGCCTTATTTCTTAAAATGAAGCTTTATTTCTTAAAATAATTTTGAACGCAATAATCGATTTATTTATATATTCCACATAAAGATATTAATCTGTTTATGTCGAGAAACCACGAAAGACGTATTCTTGTATTCATTTGTATTCATATTGTCTTTCATGCAGTAAATTTCACAAAAGCAGTGTTAAAATATTTCCTAAGTAAATAAGATGAACTTAATCCTTTGTGAATGGGTGTTTCACTATAATTTCGTATTCGCTACAAGCCAAGATTTGTTGAATGAAACTTGAGACATTAAATGGTAAAAAAAATTTTTTGTCATTTTTCAGGAAAACTATCTATTAGGTTGCGACTTTGGAAAAGTTTCATCTTCGTGGTGAGTGGAACACAATGTAAACAAAAAGTTTTTTACATTGAGTTCAATTAAAGGCCAAGATCTATTTTGAGGCAGGTCACATGCTTTTCCATCAACTGGAATTGATCTATGATAGCCAAGACCCAAACATTATATATAACCATAATATAGGTTATTTTTGTGATATAATTTGTTTATAAAACTCACATTATAAGCATCGTTAATAAGTTCCTATTTTGTCGTATCGCACACTCACCAGTTCACACGAACGTTGTTTTTTGACCGATTCAATCACTTTGCTGAAAGCAGTGTTCACACATATCTGTACTTCTTAGTCCTATATGAATTCATGCGTTTAACATGTAACAACTTTTATTGCAATGGTTTATTCATACGATGACCCATTAAGAACAGTCCACAATCAGCAACGTCCAACGTTGCCGAAAATTGTCACAATCAAAACAAAATTCTCAGCAAGCATAATAATAGAAACAGTATATACACCTATGAAAAACAGAATAATGACAATGGATGTAGGCCAAATCACTTCCCTAAATGGACAAAATATCATATCATAAGAAGCGACTTAAATACGAAGCACCAACAATGGAACAACCTAAACAGAAATGGAGTCACCATCAAAAGTCATGCCAGAAACTATCAGATCTTACACAGCCTCACATACATGCAGAAACAAACTATAGACCTACAAATATAGACGTATTCCTGTCCAACATACCACACCCACACAAAAGCAGAACAATAGACGACATGTTTTCCAACCACCTAGTACTGCTAACTATGACATCAAGCAAGAGTTTGAAATACATGAACTACATGAACAGCAAAACAAGTAATAAAAAAGTAAACTACTTTTTATTAATGCAGATGATAGAGCCAGGAACTGTTAACAACAGCACATGGGAAAATATAAAAAAAATAAAAATTTAAAAAATCGGGACAGTAGTGCAGTGTAGTACACAACACCTCACGATGTAATGAAAACGCGACTACCATAACCGTGAATTCCCAAAATTGATTAAATTAAATGGATAATTAAAAATTTTAAAAAAGCAGAATCTACCGTGTTGTACATTTATTATAATACTAGTTAATGTATAAATAGTTAAGGTCTATATATAGAGCCTCGTAACGAATATTTATCAATGCGTTTATGGAAATTTTTCTATGCATTTATGGAAAATTTGAAGATGGAAACATGCACGCAATGGATATAACATGCAAAGTATATAAAATATCTAAACTAGAATATTTATTACATGAAAGAAATTGCTCTCTACGTTCTATTGTTTTTAATTACGTTCGTAAAAATTATGTGCATAAAAATCCAGAATCTATTTATCAAATCACTACAGAAGTATTCGATTCGTCACATCATATTCTTGAAATATTTAAAGATAAATTTGTTGGAAGATCTATCGTAATTTAGATTTTTAAGGGCACTTTCTTTAATCTCCTTATTATAATCCAGAAAAATAAAACAAATATCAGTCAGACCGCAATGAAGCTAAAAATATAATAAATAAACAATCACAATTTGAAATAAATGAATATGCTACAATAACGTGTCTCGTTTCCTTGTGCAGTTGAAAGTCATAACGGCTCGAATATGAAATATATATTTGTTACAAATAAGAAAGTGTTTCGTGTTATTAAGAAAATTGCAAAGGAGAAAAAGTAATTCATTTATCTAAACGTGGCGTTGTGCGTCATAGAAAACATAAGCGATGATAAAATAATAGTTTTAAGTGATTGCGATTATTCAAGAAGATAGGTCTTTATATTTTATTCACTATACATAGAGAAAATTATTAATATTTTACGTATGCTTGTAGAAAGCATTGCATCAAAGTCCAAAGTAATTTAATTCAATTAATTAGATTTCGTTGTGATATATGTTCTCAAATGTCAACTAGATAAAATTTAAAGCCATTATTAATTTTATTTATTTAAATATTAAAAGATAATTATTTGTATAAAATACATAATCAATATTCAAGGAATAATTGAGATATTATTGAAAATAACGGTAAATTGCGCTATTGAATTTGCATTCTGGTGTCGTGTCATTTGAAAATTTCGTAGAAAATTTTGGCTCAATTGCACCATGATCACTAAATAAGTTATGATGAAGTAGTGACACTGTAACAAACGTACGAATCAATTTCTAACGTATCCTACACAGATAAACATTAAATATATAAAAAGGTACCAACGTCACGAACGAAGCTGTAGTTTAATCTATAATAAACCGATTTTGTATTTTCAAGTTGCATGTACGATATTTGCCACAGAAATTGGAGAATCTATAAAGGGATCAATTCTTAACTTTACTTTGCCAAGATAATTCCATTTAGTATGCAAAATGGTAAAAGTCCAATTTTTTACCTCGTTCTTTAATTTCGCGCTTTCTCGATACAGGGTTGATGCGTGAATGAGTCCTATCGTTTTACTCGCCTGAAAATCGATTAAGTTAAACTTTAAACTTGCTACTTTAACAACAACTCTAACAAATAAAAAATTCATCTTTAAAAAGTTTATTTTATAATCAGTCAAACTATATAACTTTATTCCGTGTTGTAACATAGTTATTTAAGTTTAAGAAATAATGAATCAAAATAATTTTTATTTTCGAATATTTCCTGATAATCTTGTTTTAGATTCAATTGTGGAAAACATTTTTCAGAATAATCTTCACTATGCAATAGGAATGATATATTAAAAGTGTTCGTTTGATATTTACCTCGGATTTAGAGATTTTTTTATTACGATGGGAATGCGTGATTTTTGGTAAAAATTGATTCGACGAACACAATAGATTAAAAAAGTAAGAAATAAAGTTTTCACCTGTCTCATTGCACATTCACAATCATAGCTCACTACAGCGATTTTCAAGATAGCAACAATGCCATCGAACAGGAATACCAATATCAGATCAAACGACTCCATGATATTAGACTTTTTGCTGATTTCCATGTATATGAAGTAGATCGTTATGCTGATGTATATCAGCATTGTAAACGCATATATTAATATTTGAGCATTGAACATATGGTTCACCATCTTCGAGACGTTGCACACTTGCAGATGCAGGAACCTTTAAATTCGTGAATTTTATAATCCTTTTATCTGTCAAAACATTCAAAATAACACGCAGTGACAAACGTGAAAGAGAGCTTAAAGGATTACACATACATTTGATAAAATCGGAAAAATCAATTTTCCAAAAATTTCATATTCTGTTATTACGATTCTTTTAGAATACCTTAAAAAATAATTTAGAGCTTTCGCCAATATCCAATGGTAACAGACAACTGAAACTTTAAAAAACATTTTTCTCAGAATAAAGTTTTCAAAATTGGTACTAGAAATATTTGAAGGGCTATCGAATCAATTTGAACAAAAATTTCTATCTAGCGCTCGACGAAGCGAAATTTTAATTCGTGCATTTCTTTTTTGAATTGCGAAGTTGAAAGTTCAAACGAAAAGCTCAGATAACTATCGTTTCTTATAAAATTGATATTTTAAGTCCACTTCGATAAATACTAGCTTCTTTTGTACAAGTTGACGTTAGATTAAAAAAATTTGCTTCGGATGAACCGCAGATGATGCTTCCATGAAACGGCTATATTTTTGTATATTTAGTTCAAACTTTTAGTAATCGGAATTAAACAACATGTAATGAAATGTACATATTACTTTTTAAATGAAGTAATAATAATAATTTTATCTTCAAAAAAACTTTTCGAGAATTTTACTTATTTTGCAACTATTTAAAAATATGTAATCCCTTAAATAGAAAATTTAAGTTTGAATTAAATTTTAATAGTGTGTGTATTTAATAGTAAGTGTAAGTTTTGTATTGAATATTTCTTACTAACAATAAGTTAATGTTATCATGTCACCGTTTATAAATATTGGTCAGAACACTTTGACCAATTTCTAACAATAATTATTAACTTTTCTCAAATATGAATGCATTTTATGTTAGTGCATCGATCACATATTCATTAAGATATAATGTAGCATTGATTATATCATAAGAAAGATTTTTAAAAAATCCGAAATTTGAAAAATTACGAAACTTCGTGTATAAGTACAAACCTAATTCTTTTTCATGCTATAAATTTGTCCCGCGGAGTGAAATCGTTCCTTGAAGATATTAAATTTTCTTTACGATGATGTATCTCGATAACGATAAGAGATATCGAGAAAAAGTATAAATGAAAAGTGCAATCATACTTTGCTATCTACGAAACTGTTTTAAAGTTTTGCTAAAAATCTACATTTTTCAAGTTACTTCCACCGCAAATCTTTAAAACTGAATTTTTTAATCTTATAATATAATTTAAACATATGCCATAAAATAGTATCGTAAAATTATTCTGTAATTTTTTCATACTACCTGATTTTTAACCTTCATTATCCATCGCTGTAAATTTATCAATTGGATTCTTGTTTACCTGATTTGTTGAATTAAACGGGCTTTTTCATCAATAGATAATCCTTGTTTAAAACTGGAAGTATCGTTCATCGAAGATACCTGTGACACTACCAGAGAACGACTGGGCAACCATTCGTCAGTTTCCAATCGATTTTGGGAATTATTACTTGTTTCGTAAGTCTTCCTGTTGGATTCCTCGTTTTTCGTTTCATCGTTCTCCAAGAGATACGTTTTCAGAAGCTGGTTTATCAATTTAAATCGCGATTTTAGCCAACTGCAAATTGATTCAGATGAATTTAATTTGAAAAAAAACTATTATTTATACGCAACGAATATTTTATTTTCATTGCTTTCGTACAATATGGTTGCGTTGTAATCGTATAAAACAATTGACTGGGCGTTCGTCATGTAAACGTAAACAATCGTAGACGATATTAAGAATGACGGTGAATTTTGCACCATCCATTTCATGAACATTCCATATATTATGACCGCGTTCAATAGCCAGAAGAATCCAATGATCTTTACGTGATGAAATAAATTGTTATAATCGATCGTAATTCCCAGCTTCTTCAAACTTTTGTCCACTTTGTCCATCTGCTTTACCAACGCTAATGCATTCTGAATAATAAGTGGAAAGAATTTATAAAAGAGCCAACTAAATATAATACAACTGAATCTCGTTTTATGTAATGGATGCGTTCCGTGTAAAAAGCACATGAGAAGATAATGAAGAAAATTAACATCTTTTTAAGGAAGATAGCATTGTATACACAATTTTTTTTTCTTCTATTTCGTTTTCTTGGTACTGTCACTGTTCGAAGTATATTTTGTATTATTATTTAATTGGTACATGTTTGTGGTTGTATTTTATCAGAATTTGAAATATTTTAGTTCGATTTTGGTATCGGGTTTCTTATTTTTTTCGATTATTGTTTCCAAACGAATTTATTTGTTAAAAAAAGTAATTTATGCAGTATAATTAAAAGAGTGTGATTGTTATTTACCTTTGATTGATATACACCAATGATCATTGAACTTGTGTAGCCAAATGCATGGGAACAATATTGAAACATGTATATAAAGTATTCTATATCAAACCAAGTCTTTATAATGTGAATTTCAATACGAAATTGAATGATCACGATCATAATCAGAAGTATGCTCCAAATACAGCTGCAGATAAATTTGAATTGGTTTTTTTTTTGATCCACGAAATTTCGGAATGCCGTTATGTGATTTAGTATGGTTATTATTCTTGTTGCATCCTCGTAGTTGTTCATCTTGTCTATTTACAAAAATTAACATGAAAAACGTTGAAAGTTTTTTCCAATGACACTAAAATTCAAAAATTTTATGAAGGTAGGGAAAAAAAACATTCTTCTTTGCTTTTCATTTTTGTCAAACAGTTTGAAATGATTTCTATGGAATTGTAGCAATTAATAAAATGTTACCACAAAATTAAAAGAAAACTAACATTAATTAACTTGACAGGTATCGTAATCTTTATTTGTCCAAAAATTTTGCAAGGAATTGAATAAGTTTTCGATTTTATAAAAAAAGACAATCTAACGGAATGGTTAAAAGAAGAATGATCGGTGTTGTTAGGTTCATGCATTATAGAATAGAATTAAGTATTCTAATTTTGATTCTTACCATTTATTGCTTACAAATGAAGGAATAATAAAATGTTGGCGTGTTAAAATTTACATTGTCGTCGAATAACTGCAATGCAAATAAAAAAATATAATACGATTAACAGTTAATAATCTTATACTAGTTTGAAACGAATGAACACACGATATTAATGTAGCTTCTTTCTTCGTGAGACTGAATGTAATAACTGAAGACGTGCTTCATGTCATTAGGGTAAAATAGAGAAAGTAATTCATTTATGTAGATATCTATGCCTTTTCAAAGAAACATAAGTGACAGTCAAATGATATGTATGTGCAGTTTCAAATGATTACGATAACACTGATAAAAAAATTACATGAAGAATTACTAATATCCTACGTGAATCTAAGTCTATTGAATGAACTTTGTCATGACATATGTTTACGTCCTTGTTTTGATTTAGGTTAGATAACTAATTTTATTCTATCAAAAGAAAAATTTATAAAGGTTTTCTTCAAAATCAATATTACTAATGAAAAATTACGACTAGTGGTTAATGGAGTACGGTGAGAATAATCACAAAATCATTATTGTTTTCATTCATTATTATATACTAACTGTATTTATGTACATAATTAATTATAATTATTATTTTACTTACTTATAAAAGCTATTTTAATTTACAGAAAATATTTTCAGCACGTAGGTTTATTACGAAAAGATTAAAGGAATTCTTTTACGTGAAATTCATGAGAAATTGAAAAGGCAATTTATAAAGATCTTTCTAAGATTACTACAAATAAACAATAATGGATAATACAGCAGAGTGTTTTTCATTCTGTCTTTGTGTTCGTGAGAAAATCAATACTTACATAATTGTTCATGCAACTAGTCGAACACTAATTTTCGATGTACGAAAAAATTTGTTTCCTAAAAAGAAATCTCTGTGTTCGTTTTGAAGCTTAAGGATAATAACATTCTAATAGAAAATTCTGATATATTTTTACAAGATGGGAAAGTGAAGATCTATCGTCATATTAAATTCTTTATGGAAGACTTAATTAATGAAAAAATGGACAAAGTTCAGGAGAGATTATCTAATATAAAATAATTTTAACTATTGAGTAATTAAATAATTGAATAAATAAATATTGAATAACTGAACAACTGAAACTAATTGAAAATCTTTACCAAGAAGAATAACAATAAATAACACGAAATGTTATGTTTGTTAAATCGAGATTGATCCTTCACAAAATGGATGGAAAAGCATGCAATGACCGTTTCGGCATATTAATACAAACTCTTTACTTGTGTAGTACAAAAGTATGAAAAATGAATAAATAAAGAAAAAAAATTGTTGATCGAAATTTATTTCTGTTATAATTTATTCTTTAGACAATTATATTCGATTTTCGTAGAATGTGTACTGCACATTTCGTACCGACTGGAAATAAAAACACGATGATCTTAAGTTAATGAGAAAGATAAAGTTGTTGAAAAGGAAAAGATTGGAGATATAGGAGAAATTCAGAAAGAAATTAGGTTTATTAATAGATATGTCGAAGCACTAGACAGCTATTATTAATAACAACAATAGTGCATGTAAATTTTTTTCTACAAGAAAACTTAATTATAATAAGTAGAGTCAATATCACTTTAACCTTATATTCGAATATTAATAACATCAATAAATCATCTTGTGAGTTTCTCATACGCGAATATAAAAAAATTCAATAAAAATTCAATTCATTAAATTCTGTATTATAAGAAAGGGCTTATAAATTCTTGTACTCGATCGCCATTGTTCGAAGGAAATTAGAAATAAAGTCAACAACACGAAAAACATTAAGAATAGATATTAATACGAATTTAATGAATAGGTTCCTCATTTCCAATCTCATTATTAATTTACGTATTTCTCACAAAATGATTTCTGAAATATTAAAATCATAGGAAGAACTAGTATAGGAAGGACTCATGTTCGAGCTTTGTGTAATGGATACTGAAGAACTATTTCTTTGAGAGAACAATTTATTAGCAAATGAACTGTACATAATTTACCAAAACTCCTTTCTCCCTTTCCTAATTACTCGATTAACATTGACAAATTTCGGATACGACTAATAATACGACGACAGCGATTTCTTAATTGCACGAAATCACTTTATACGAATTCGTTAGCCAACTATCTTTAAACACTGGGACGTTAGTCATTCCAAACGTTGGAGGACGAGCGCTGATCCCGAAGGTAAGTTGATTCCAGGTCGCTGACGACAAATGCACGTTCGAGCTTCGTTCGATCGACAATAACCTTCCTGAAACGCAATAAATGGTGAGGACTTTTTGTCAACAATAATAATTTTTTTTTAAATTATTAAAATTAAAAAAAAGGAATGTACAGGGCGTAATAAATTTCTTGTGCTGTCGAAAAATTCTAAACCATTATTTACCGAATAATGAATTTGGATTAGCGTATTGAATCGCTGACATATCACTCACCTTGAACACCTGGTGTTCAACAATGTTGTTGTCTGCAAGTCAACGAATGAATAACTTTCCATGTACAACAGCAGTCAAGTCGACGCTAAGTCCTATTTATAATGGTAAATACAGCCATTCACGCGTTAGCAAGCAATAAATAACACGTACCTCCTTACAATAAATTAACATCGCCTACACGCATACACATGCATCATTGGCACACATCCATAACTACTTATTAGATAAATATTATTTACAATTATGGTCAATTAGCAGTTGTGACTACAAGTGTAAAAGATCTGGAGAAAATTTTGATTAGCAAATTGGCCGGGCGCCTGCCCGGCATCCGGTAACGGGCACCGTTTCGTCACCGATCTCCTTAGTACCTCACCGGCGGACCTGAGAGACGCGACCTTGACGATCCCATCGGCTTCGAAATGCACCTTGATAATAAAGCCCAGCAGCCTTACATGGAGTTGTCCTCTTCTTAAAGATTAACATTTCCAATTCGAATGTGTTCGGCGAGGCCAACTGCCGTTTTGCGTAGTTGCTACAACGTATATAAGTAGTTCCGGTGACAGCATTTCCAAAAATGCTGGCAGATGAGCTAATACCTGTTCAACTTGTTCTTGAAATTACTCGATAAAGTCTGCATACTAAACGTGATTTTATGTTATTTAAAATCATCGCGCTAACAAATACTATCGCGTTGTTTACCTAATTGGTAATCGAATAGGCAGTTTGTCTTCCATATCTCTCTGAAAGTAATGCCGGCCAACATTGAAACAGCAGCAAAAATTGGCGCAATCTCTGGAAGAGGCGGCTGTACACGTCATTCAATCTTCTTGCCCTTCCAATGCACGAGGTGATTCGTTGTCTTTGTTCTCAACTTGCGTAAATTCCGTTAGTACGGTGGAGGCGAAATTGAAATCGTTAGTGGCATAGCGCGGCTCTGTTAACTTTATTCAAAAAATATATTAATACGACCGATACTAAATCCGATCTCATGGTCCTCTGAAACACAATAGGTTATCGTTTAAGAAATTTGACAAAGTTCAGTGCAAAATAAAAACATTGGTGAGAATTGATATTGATAGCAAGATAACGCAGTGGCTAAAGTGCGAATCATTCGAGAATTGCTTCTTCAGTGATGATTTCGCGCGCTCAAAGTAATTATGACGCCTGCGCTCTCCAATGCAATATGATTACCGCCATTGAATTTACCAATGGAGACTATTTAATCATTTGAATTATTAATACAAAACACTGATGGAGTCAATTTAGTGGCATCAGTCAATTTAGACGTAATTACGAATCAGTTTAGTCAAGATTGCAACAACTACAATGATTCGAAGACTCTGATCGATCATAACGTCTTACGTGACATTGCTCTTTTTCGGAAAGAGGACGCTTAATGAATCCATCGATACAGCTGGCAATAACTTTGCTTGCATGAGCTCGTTGTTGAGGTGTTTCTGCTAGTTTACATTGGTCTCAAAGAATAGATCCCGCATCGTATTTTGAATTTAACACTTTGAGTGTTCAAGGACAGTGCAACTTTTCAAGATCTCATGGAATTTCTAAAACAACCTATCGCGTAAGAAAATGGTCCAGTTATGGTAAATTTATGGGATAAAAAGATCGAACAAAACAACGCGGCAGCGCGTCACGATGACTCACCTTGCTCATCAAGGCAATTGCCTGCCGTGTGGTGCTGATCACCTACTAATTGCAAAAAGCTATCGGCCATGCTTATTGCGAAGAAATGCGAGGCAATAAAAAGAATGCAAATTTGTTTCAGTTATGTACAGTCCGGGTACAACGTAAAGAGTTTCGTGCACAGAAGATGTAGCAAAAGAAACACCACACTCTACTGCAAAAGTAGCACGAGCCGTTTATTTTGAAAGTGGTTTAAATCCATTTTCCAAAACAATCAAGCTTAATATTTACATATCTATGTTTCTATCTTTTCAGTTCTAAAGAAATTGTAACTAATATATTTAAAATCACTAAGATTTTGTACAGAGAATATTAGCTGGTTAATAAAATGATAAAGATTTTTATTTTGGATTAAGTCTCACTTAAGAGTTTCAAACTGATATGAAGTATATTATGGTAAAATTTTATGAGATAAAAGCTATATTTTTTATTATTAAAGTAATAATGTTCGATTAATTCAGATAGTGATTTTTTTTAATAATAATAATTCCATTAAATACAGAGGATTTCGTTTCAACTAAACATCTAGAAGACGCGGTTTTTAGATGATTAAAAAGTACTAATGGAGAAAGCAAATTGGTTAAAAATATGTTGTATAAATGTTCTATAAAACATCAATCAATGAGAATACACTATTCAAAACTGTGAATTTACTATCGCGTCGAGTGAGACCAAGAAACTTTAATAATATTGAACTGACACTACTGTACAAAAATGTACACCAATAACAACACTAAAATACAACGATATAATGGATTTATCACACTATATACCACCTGTACACCATAGTTATTTTAAACCCCTCTCGCAAATTCGGGAAGAATGAATTATAAGTTACAAAATATTATTTGAATGTAACATTTCTTTAATAGTGAAAAGTTGGATATTTTTTAATTTTATAACATACAATTGTTATATTCTTTTTTACTATAAGAAAATTTTATTTTTTTCAAGGGGTTTGTGCCTTTTTAAAAATTAAAAAGTTATTTCATTAATTTTGAAAGTCTATTGTAGCCAGCAGAAACGTGTTATTTTCTAAACATACTAATTGAATTGGTAAATTATACACTCTTAGAAACACAAAATCATTACGTAACCATGTTATAAGTTACCAATATTTTTAAATTTATCGAAACACAAACCATCTAGATTTAAAAATAAATG